GGCCCGGTGCCTTCATACCTCTAGACCCCAGGAAGTGGCTACTCTTCTGAGTGTTCATGGCGGTGGAGAAATATTAATACGTTATCCCAGTAGGAGGGGAAGGCTAATCCTCCCTATATTTGTTCAGTACTCAAAAAACTCGAACAACAGGTTTAACTTAGCTTTGTGCCATTTTAATGCAAATTTTATACAGGTATAGTCATGGCACTCCTTTTTGCTCCGTATGCCAGATGGCCAAAAATCTGTTGTAAGAATGCCTGTGATGTGACTTAGTGTCTGTGATCTCCCCAGGCTCCATGCTCTCCCTTGAGGCCGTGTTGCCGAGACAGCCTTCTCCTCACGCACCCTCCTCACAGTGTCAGTGAAACCGCCCAGCACGCTCCAGAGTTCTTTAGTGCAGCCATTGGCAAACGTCCTGATCTTTAAGACTCATTGGAAGGCACTTGTTAGAAACTCAGGTATCTGGGTCTTAATCCAGACTTAGTGAATCAGAATCTTCAAGGGAAGGGCCTGGGAATTTGTATTTTTACACGTTCCTCGGGTGATTCTTAAAAACTGGAAAAGTTTAGCAAGCATTGCTTTAGTGCACCCAAAAGTGCTTAGCAGCAGGTGGTGAGAGTGATAAGAGCACAGACTGGAGGGGGCAGTGACAGCAATATGGATGACAAATTCAGTTACGTGGGATAACTGAATTCCTTCTGTCTGGTCTTGCTCTCTGGCTGTGGGATACATCACTATCTGGTAGAGTGCCTTCCGCTTTAGTGCCCAGTGATTTATGTATTATTTATTCCTCTTTTGCTTTTCTGGCCAGCTTTGAGGTCTAGCTGTCAAGCTTCAGTAAACTTTTTGGTTCACTAAATTTCTCTCCCTGGGCATTTCAGCTCCTCCTAAACGCAAAGACCTCTTTTTCTCCCATTTCCAGTTTTCCACCCAAGCACGTGTGTCTCTGATTTATTATTCCCTCAGTGCCTTCATTTTACCAGTTCATTCAGTCACTCCTTCAACAAGTGTCTATTGTGCCAGGCTGTGGGCAGGCTGAAGAGATGAACAAGACACAGTCCCTGCCCTCCAGTGCACTGTCTAGTAGGGACACAGATGTGTGAACAAAGTACCGGTGATGTGCTGGGTGCTGTCACAGACGTGTGTGCAGAGCTGAAGGGGGCGCCGGAGGAAGTGGCTAACACATGGTGGCAGGTGTCACAGAGGAGGTGACTTTCGAGTAGGTCTTGTACCCAGAGAAGAGGAACGGGGAATTTGTAAGTGATATCACCGGGGTTCTCACTTCTCTCTGCAGTGTGTCTTCTCCTAGGGCTCTTCAGGGTCTTTTCTTGTTTATGGAACAAATGGAGCTAATTGGCATGGCTGAATTAGACTCTCTTGATTGACTTTTTTTACAACTCGAGATGGTTGGTAGTTGATTAATGTCCAAGATACCAAGTCTGTCAATTACTGACAGTGAATGGTTGGCAGTCAAAGCACCGAAGAAAGCTTTTAAAGACTTTTTACTTTATCAGATGTGTTCTGAGGCAGCAGAAGAGGTCTTTGTGCTCGTGAGGGAGTGACATGTGCGAGTCAGTGAGTGAGTGAGTGAGTGAGAGAGAGAGAGAGAGAGAGAGAGAGAGAGTGTGTGTGTAGTGGAGATTGGAGAGCTTGAGAGCAGAATAGGACAGAATGCTTGTTTCTTTTTCAATGAAAGACACGATTTCCTGCTTCTTAGGAAAGACACGATTTCCTTGGTAGGCTCCCACATCCCTGCTAGTTTTGTGTATTGTTAGAGATGACCTAAAGTCTTCAGTTTGCTAATTTGACAAGGCTTGATTCTTATTAACAAAAATGCACCATGGGTTTCTCTTATTTCATTAGGAAAGCAGAGATGAAGGGCCATTGGGGTTAAATTTGTACAGTCTAGTAAGCAGTCATGATTGCAATTTTAAAATCTTTATCGTTTCTTGAAATAATGGGTGCTCATTGTAGAAAAATTATAAAAGGCAGGCAAGCAAAATTGACAAAAAGCTGAAACCAATTTGTAATCTTACAAGTATTAGCTAACCACTGTTAACATTTTGGTGTTTAAAATTTAGATTTTCTTTTTCTGTGTATACCTGTATGTACAAAAATATTTTTAGTCCCAAAATTGAATATGCTGCATAAACTGTTTAATTCCTTTTTTTCTGTTATAATGTGACCATCTTATCATGTTAACAAATACATACCTACAGAACCATTCTTTTTTTTTTTTTTAAAGAAGCTGAACAGGCTCTTTTTCTCTTTCCAAATTGTGTTTATTTACTTATTGACTGCTGGGTCTTCATTGCTGCACATAGGCTTTCTCTAGTTGGGGTGAGCGGGCTTCCCGTTGCAGTGGTTTCTCTTGTTGCAGAGCATGGACTCTAGGCCCATGGGCTCAGTAGTTGTGGAGCATGGGCTTAGTTGCTCCAAGTCTTATGGAATCTTCCTGGACCAGGGACTGAACCTATGTCCCCTGCATTGGCAGATGGATTCTTACCCACTAGACCACCAGGGAAGCCCAGAACCCTTCATTCCCCCCCCCCTTTTTTTTTTTAAATATTTGTTTCACTTATTATTTGGCTTTGCTGGGTCTTAGTTGCAGCATGCAGTCTCCTAGTTACAGCATGTGGGATCTTAGTTCCCTGACCAGGGATCAAGCCTGGGCCCCATGCACTAGAAGCTCAGAGCCTTAATCACTGGACCACCAGGAAAGTCCTGAACCCTTTGTTCTTCAGGAAAAAAAAACTTTATTGAGATTATAGAAGTCATTCAGGCTTTTTTTGGATAAACATTGTTAAAGTATATATGCTCTTCTAGACTATTTTCTTTATATATGCAAACATGTTGCTTTTTAAAAAAGAATTAGATCCTATTATACCTACTCTTCTGCAGCTCACCTTTTATCCTTAATATATTTTAGACAGCTTCCTGTGGCAGTACATTTGGAATACCTGCAAAATTTTCTGTAGATCAAGGTTTCTCATCCTCAGTGCAACTGACATGTTGGACTGGCTAATTCTTTGTTGTGGACTTGTCCTGTGCATTGCAGGATTTTAGCAGCATGGCCTATAACTTCTAAATGCCATAACACCCCATCCTCTAGTTGTGACAAAAATGTCTCCATTGCTGCACGTCAGCTTTCTCTAGTTGGGGTGAGCTGGCTTCCCAATGCGATGGTTTCTCTTGTTGCAGAGCATGGATTCTAGGCACATGGGCTCAGTAGTTGTGGCACATGGACTTAGTTGCTCCAGGTGTTGTGGGGTCTTCCTGGACCAAGGATTGAACCTGTGTTTAATCATTGTCAGTTGGCCCCCTCAAGGGTAGAGTCATTCCAATTTGAAAGCCACTGATACACATGGTCTATGACATAAGTGTCTAGAGTCCTTCCAATGTTTCCATTCAAAGAATAACTTAGGGAATATTCTTATGTTGATTTTTATACACCTCTGTGAATTTTATCATTGAATAAATTCCTAGAAGTGCAGTTGATGAATCTGAATTTTGTTAGAAATCACATTTCTCTAGAGATTGTATTATTTTTCATCTATATCCTTATAGTTCCAAATCTGTATCTCTTTCCAAAATTCTAGATTCATATAGCCAACTGTTGATTGAACATCTTCTCTTGCGTGTCTCATAGACTTTTCCTAATAAGCTCAACTCTTATCTTCTTCAACCCAGTTCTTGGGGTATATCTCTGTCAGAATATCATGACCATCTGCCTGGTTGCTCAAGCCAGAAATCTCCATCCTACACTGAATCAGTCATCAAATCCTACTCAGTGTTCCTACTCAGTAGCGTCTCTCGTAATCCAGTCACTTCTTTTCATCCCTTCTACCTCTATCTTTGATTTAAGCTACTAGTATCTTGCCCAGATCACTATAGTAACAGCAGGGCAAGCACTTCTCTCTCTGGCTTCTACCTGTGGTTCCACATTCCTCAGAAAGAGTGAACTTGCTGCACTCTATGATATGTGAGTGTTATTTCTCCATTGAAGCTGTTCAGTGAGCCCTGCTTCATCTCCACCATCTGCTCCATCAGTCAAATGCTGAGACCAACATATCTGACGTTCCATCACCCATGAGTTCAAATCTCTGTATCCATCAGTATGGGCTTCCTCCCCCACCATCACATGTATTTATTCACCGGATATATTTATTCCCCCAGCTTTGAATTACTCACTGTCCCTTGAATGTCCCTTTGTTCTGCTGATTTCCTGGTCCTTTTAACCCTGCTCTCTGCCCATCCATTTTCTACCCTTTCTTTAGGACGAAGCAGATTCTTGAAGTCTTCAGCGCCATAGTTTCTCCTCTGTTAATCAGTTTTATCCTTACTGCATTTATCATGTATGTACTTTTCTGTGTGCTTCACATATACTTTTCCATTTAACCTTGTGAAAAAGACATACACATATATCAAAAATACAAACCAGTGAACCAAGTGGAGAAGATGTGGGAATTCCAGCTCTGGGTTCCAGCACAGGTCCTAGGGTGCAGAAGGGCCTTCCAGAAATCCCATCCCGGTGCCTGAACCTTGACTTCTCCCCTTAACTAGACTTGTGATTTTATGTGGTTTTGTATAGCTATGTAATTGAATACTTCTCCAGTCAGTTGCATTCATTTGGTCAGAGTGAAACCTTGGAGAGAAAGAAGATCGTTTGTCTGCTAGCCTTGGCGCATTCCATTTTAGTATATCTTAAATGCCATGGAAACAAGGGGTGCCTAGGAACTTGGGGATCTCTGACATGGAATGTAGCACATTGCGCCGCTAGATTGGTGTAGGGAGGGACCAGCCCTGCAATTTTCCACAAGAAGTCAGCTCCAAGCCTGTGGGAAATCACACATAGCAAAATCCTTGGCAAAGAACCATACATTTTTTCCCCTACTCTCTATGTGGTAATTCTGTAACACTCTGTAATTAATTTTATTTTTACAGTGAACAACCACAGAGTAAGAATAATGAGTAACCTATTTCTGTTCTTGCTATTTTAGGGGACATCACACAGAAGGGTTATGAAAAGAAAAGGTCAAAACTCCTGTCTCCTTACATCCCGCAGACACAAGGTAGGTAATGAGAAGTGGTTTTAAACCTTCTCAGTATTTTTACACTAATGAATGCTATCTTACTGGAGATCTGTCTTTTTTGTTGGTTCCTGTTTTTTCCCTTCCTTCCTCACCAGGGAACGGGGGAAAAAAAACAGAAGGAAAGAAAGGAGGAAATGAATCTTAATTGAGCATCTGCTGCGTGGTAGGCACTTTAAAAATACCCAGGGCCATCAAATCATTCATACAGAACTTGGGTGGTAGTCACTGTGTCTGTGTGTCGCTGACATGATTCAATGGTAGAAGATTCTAGGTCATAGAAAAACTGCATCTAGTGCTTGAGTATGAACTGTGATGGAGAGAAGCAAGGGAGGCAAAGATAAGAAGGAGGGACAGATTCAGTATTGCAGGACAACCCAAAGATTGCAGTACCTGGGGATTTGGGGATAAGAACCCAAAGTAAACCTTTTTGCAGCCTGACTTGTGCAGAAAGACTGGCATGTTCTTTATATATCAGAAAGTCCTGAGTCACTTTTGTGCTTATTTCCAGACGGGTTGCTGGAACCTTTGCCTCTAGGCAAGTCTGTCTGTTTCTAAGTCATCATATTTTTGAAGTTACTCAGCATCCAGGATTTCCTCTGATGGCCTGTTTCTACTTTAATCACTTTTACTATGAAGAATTTTTTCTTTATTTCTCATTTCCCCTCTGCAATCAGAGTCTGTTTTCACATGACTGTTTTTTGTGGAACTAATAATCATTGCTTTTATTTCTGGATTATAAATCCCTTGAGGACTTTGGAGCCTCCATGGTTCTAATGTTAAGCCTTGCACAAAGTATATAGTTTGTAAATATCTGTTGAATGAATAGTGGAATAAATAAATGAATAATGGTGGTATACCAATAGATTTCACCAAAGTCCTTGTTTTATTTCCTGCATTATTCTTGGGAATTCCTCCCTGTAAAAACTAGTAGGTCAATGCCTAGATATCCAGTTTAAAATATCTTAATGAACAGATGGATGTAGAAATGAATTGAGAGAAAAGAGGTAGAAATCAGGCCAGCGACAGCTAATGAAAAGCCAGCTTTTGCTGAGCAAGGCATGGCACAGAAGGGGAGTCCTCTGATTGGCTGCTTAATTGTGGATCTGGCCCATGCCTCTGTAGGCCCAGAGATTTACTGTAGTCACTTTGTGCAAAAGCAATCAGATCCTGAGAAAATAACACAGTAAGGAATGTAACTATAAAAAGGACCATGCTCTGTCTGCTCCCTGTAGTCAGGTTATATAGAAACTAAATCATGTTCCAGAACCAGTTTATCAATTTACTATGAGAAACCACTGAGGTACACTCTAGTCTGTGTGGTCAGCACATTCTTGCCCCACGGGCAGGCCTACATGGGGAGCTTGATCACATATAGAAGGTTGGTAAGTGAGCATGGATTTGACGAATCAGACATTTAATTAAAGGAGGCCAAGGGAGTGTGACATGGCATCTCACAGTAGGGATGGTTGTGCACGTGACCTCATGGGGGAAATAGAAGTCATTTGATGGCAGCTCTTTCAGCTTCCTGCTATCAGAACTTCAAACTCACCATATTTGTGCCCATCATGTTTATGACCTCCTGCCTTCTGGTTGAAAAGGTGATCTCTCTGTCCTAGCCAAGGGCAGTCCTTCCACCAGTGCTTTGGGTCCTATCCCCTCCTCCCTTTTCAGAAATCTTATACTATCACCCAGTGACACCAAGGACAAGGCGGTGGGAGTGAGCCACCCTGGTGCAAGCAGTGAGGGGTGCAGTATCTGTAGAAATTTGAAAAGCGGTAATAAAGCCAACACAGAGTTGGTCTGCTTTTTGTTATCACCATGGATAGCAATTCTAAATGCTCTAAGTAGTAAGTCTCCCCCGCCGAGGCGGACGGCTGCATTGCCCTCTTGATGTGTCGCTGCAGTCCCCTCCCCGACACTCCTGTGCAATCACCCTCTCCCTCTGAGCCAGATTCTTACCCCAGCAGATCAGCATGCGCATTCCTCTTCTCTTTAAAGAAATCCTCCTTAGTCTACCACTTCCAGCTTTATCCTCTCTCTCCTTTATGATCAGACTGCTGAGAACTGTCTCTGCTTATTATCCCTGTTTCCTCAGCACCTGTTCACTTCTCAGCCTGTCCCAGTCCCTTGCCACTCTACCTCTTGAAACACTTCTTTAGAAACAGTCTCCGCATTTTCTCACTCCCTTCTTCTGTTGCTCCTAGTCATCTTTGCCGGCTCCTCCTCTTCTGTTAAATCTTGGAATTCTCAAGGCAAAACCTTAAGCCCTCTTGACATCTCACTCTACATCAGTGGTTCTCAAATTTTAGCCTGCATTGGGATCACTGGAGAACTTCTTATATATACAGATTGTAGGACCCTGTCCCTTCTCAGCGTTTCTGATTCAGTTGGTCCAGGTTGAGGTTTGAGAATTTGCATTTGTGTCAGGTTCCCAGGTGATGCTGCAGTTGCTGGTATGGAGAAACAATGCTCTGTCTCTCTAGAGCTTTTCAGCCATCCCTGTGGCTTTAATTATCATTTATAGATAACTCCCAAATATGTGTCTTCAACTCAGATCTCTCCTGGGCTCCTGATCATAGATCCAGCTGCATTTTTAACAACTCCATTTATATATCTTAAAGGAACCTTGATTTCAACCTATCCAAACATATCCATTAAATGTTAGGTATGATTTATGCTCACACCACCTGTACCACCAGCACCTTCCCCTCCCTATATGTGTACATTCACACAAAATTATTAATACATTATCCAGCGTCTCCCAGACTTCTAGTTTCCACTTCTGAGTGAATAGAACTCCCATGCATAAGCCCAACAACTAGGCTTAAAAGTCATCTCGGCAGTCTCTTCATTCCCCATCTCTTGCCTGTTACCAAGTTACATTTTCCGCTTCTTCATGAGTCAGTTTTTGTAATTTAATTTTTCTAGGAATTTGTCTGTTTTGTATAAGTTTTCAAATTTATTGTTAATGACAGTATTCTCTCTATTTTTAAAGCCTTTGCTTTGTTTGTGTGTAACTCTTATCTCTTCTCTTTTTTCTTTTGATCAGTCTTCCCAGAGGTTTGTCATTTCAAAGAACAAGTTTTTAATTTTGTTGATCTTCTTTTTAGTGTGTCTTTATTTTCTCATTTATCATTTTCGGCTTCTGTATGTTTTTCCTTCCTTGCATTCCTTTTCTAAGTTTCCTGAGTCAGATGCTTAGGTTTTCAGTTTTCTTTACAAAGGTGAGTGTTTCTCCATTTGACTGTGGTCAGAGAACAGCCTGTTCAAAATCAAGTCACAATTAGAACCTTAATTCTCCTCCCAAACAACACGAGGACTTTAAGAACAAATGCATTTTTAGTACCTCATTGTCTACATACCCCCTCAATTATTAGTTATTATTGTTCTGTGTAGTTAATAGTAGTTAATATCTGTTTCTTTGTTCACTGTTGCTTTGCATATATGACTCTTTCCTCTCAGTTCAATTGCCTTCTTCCTGAAGTTTATCTTGTAATAGTTACATATTTTAATGAGAGTTTCTTAGTGGTAAAAAATTCTCTCAATTTACACTTGTCACTTTTCCCACCTTTGTTCTTAAACCTATTAATCTTTCCCAGAAATGGATTGTTTGTAGGGCTGGTTATGTTATACAGGTTCTGTAGCAAAAGAAAAGATTACCCTTCGACATTTTTACCTCATATATCTTTGTAGATTAAAGGAGGTATTTAGATTTTGTTTTTTTTTTAAATGATGTTGGATTTAATGAAGATTTTATGCCTGTATGCATGCATGCATTCTCAGTTATGTCCAACTCTCTACAACCCTATGGACTGTAGCCTACCATGCTCCTCTGTCCATGGGATTCTCCTGGCAAGAATACTGGAGTGGGTAGCCATTTGCTACCCCAGGATATCTTCCCGAGCCAGGGATCGAACCTGAGTCTCCTGCGTTGCATGTAGATGCTTTACTGCTGAGCCTCTGGGAAGCCCAGATTTTAAGCTTACTGAATAGAATTAAATGAAAGTCAGTTTAACGCTTTTAGTAGGAGTTTGCTACTTCTTACTTCTAGAGGGATTCAACTTCTTTCAAACTGTCATCTTGTTGGATTTCATTGTTTCCAGTTGTGAGATGCTCCATTGAGGGTAGCTCTTTGAGTATAGTGTATAAAAGTAACATTCTCCACCAATCTCTTGAAAGAAAAAATTAATACTGCCTGCAACATTGTACTGCTAGAACAATTACATGCACATGCTTATCTAAAAATTTAGTGAGTGATTTTTCTGTACAGAATTGATCTGGAGTCATCTTGGGGTTCATATTTATGTATATTTTAGATTTTTTTTTCAAATGCTACATAAATCTTTAAAATAGGACTTCAGGAAAAAAAACAATCTAACAGGACGAATGGGGAAATAGGGATGAGAACAGAAGGTTGAAGAAAATACTTAGTGGAAATTGAGTAAGGACAGTTTGGGGTAATAAACAAAGCTTAATTCACTATCACCACAGGGATAGATTTTAAACTTACTATATGACAAAAATCTGATGTGTCAAAACTACCCTTGAAAGTCAGTTAAACCCACCAACTTTGGAACTGACTGTTGTTCCCAAACTTTATCTGATATTTAAGGTCCAGGTTGTGTGAAATTCATATCTTGATAAAGATTAAAACCATATCCAGGGTCTCAAGATGCTCTCCCTGTGAGAGACAAGGGAGAAATGAGGATGTGGCAGGTACATATCTCCTTGTTCTTTTTTAAAGTTATTTATTTACTTCTGGCTGTGCCAGGTCCTCGTTACTGCAGGGTCTTTTCTCAGGTTGCAGCAAGCAGGGGCCACTCCCTAGTTGTGGTGTGCGGGCTTCTCATTGCTACTGTTTCTCTTGTTGCACCTTATGGACCCAAGGGTGCCTGGGCTTCAGTACTTGTGGCACATGGACTCAGCTGCCAACAGCATGTGGAATCTTCCTACACCAGGGATTCAGTCCATGTCCCCTG